CCGGCTGATAGTGTTTTTCAGACGGAGTCTCGCTCTGTTGCCCAGGCTGGCCCCAAACCCCTGGCCTCAAGCGATCAACCTGTCTCAGTTTCTGAAGAATGTGGAGCTACAGGCATGAGCTGCAGCACCCAGCTGACACCTGCGGCCATCGGAAAAAAGGCTCACATTTCTTCAGTGCTATTTCTTTTTTTAAAAAACAATTATGTATTTGGTACAGGGTCTTGATACACAGCTCAGACTCGTAGCGATCCTCCTGTTTCAGCCTCCCCAGTGCTGGGATTACAGGTATGAGTCACCACGCCCGGTTTCAGCCACGGGTCTCCAGGCTCGGGGTGGGGCCAGGAGGGCATGTAGTACTGATGATCAAACCCAAGTTTTTGTACTTGCCAGGCAGGCACTTAGACCGCTGAGCTATCTCCCTGGCTCCTCTTTTTTCCACTTTGCAATACTAGGGATTAAACACAGGAGCTACAGTCTATTATTATTATTATTATTATTATTATTAATTTCACTAAATTGCTAGTTGGCTTAGGCTGGGCTTGAGCTTGTGATTCTCCAGCCTCAGCCTCTCAGCCTACTGAGATCATAGGCGAGCACCATTATGCCTATGGGGTGCCAGTTCTTTTTCTTAAAGATATTTATTTATTTGGCACTATGAAGCTCAGACACATAGTGATCCTCCTGCCTCAGCCTCCCCAGCGCTGGGATTATAGGCATGTGCCATCATGCCTGGTTTCCCCTGGTGGCTGGCTCAGCGTGGGGCTGGGGATTGAACCCAGGTCCTTGGGCTTGCCAGGCAGGCACTTAGACCGCCAAGCTATCTTCCTGGCCTCAATGCCAGTTCTTTCAAACAAGCTAATACTGCTGCCTGCCTGGGTCTCCAGGAAGATCTAGAGTACAGGAGGAGGGCCAGCTACCATTCCTGGCACTCCAGGAGGCTGAGTCAGGACCGTCCTGCCCCACTTGGCCTGCGAGCTTCGCTCTGCTGGCCCCCTCCTCTCTCCTTTTCTGCTTTCTTAAACTCTGCATGCTCAGCTTTAATAATCTAGAACCCTGAGCTTCGGCCACTGCAGAGGACACTGCCCTGCCCCAGCCTGCTGCTCTGGGTCGCCAGGAGCACTGTGGGAGCCTGCGCTGGGGTCTCTGGGAGGATCTCCCCATTCTTCAGGCTCTAGCATGTCGGGGGGGGGGACATCCTTCCCCCACATGTGCCTCTTGGCGGCTGT